GGGGGGGAAGGGGAGGGGAGAGATGGGGACAGAATTTCTTTTGGGTGCTATAAAAAGCCAGCCACTTACCACTATTTTTCCGTCAGCGCTGGAGTTTGTTTTTTAGGCCTTAGCTTGAAATATAAGATGATCATGGTAATGCTTGCATATGTAGCTAATACACACTAGAAAGGAAAAAGAAAATTAAACTTAGGTGCCTTCTCATGCACCCTTGAAGCTTGACTGTTAAGGGCAAGTTAACTAGTACATACATTCCTTCTGCCTGTTATGGTTATTTTTCCGTCAGCGCTGGAGTTTGTTTTTTAGGCCTTAGCTTGAAATATAAGATGATCATGGTAATGCTTGCATATGTAGCTAATACACACTAGAAAGGAAAAAGAAAATTAAACTTAGGTGCCTTCTCATGCACCCTTGAAGCTTGACTGTTAAGGGCAAGTTAACTAGTACATACATTCCTTCTGCCTGTTATGGTGTAGGAATTGAAGTATCTCTGAATACCAGTGAAGGTGTGCTGAGTTCCAGAGTCGTGTCCTGCCATGGTTGCTGGTCCTAAATGTAATTAAGGAAAAGTTAGTATGTCTATTTTCAGGTCTGTTGGCCGGAGAGTATCAGCAGATGACCAATGCAATGAATATTTCCAGTGCCACCTCTGTAGGTTTTACATTTAGGACTGCTAGTGCAAGCTACTGATTTTTTCATTAATTTTATTTAGAAAGATTTGGGTATACATACTGGAAATAGAAAGCAAGTGATTCAAGGCAGAGCTATACACAGCTGTATAAAAATAAAGGCAAATTACTTAAGAATGAGTGTTTTCCAGATGTATGAAAGGGAAAACCAAGAAACTTGTGCAACATGGTTAAGATTTTTTAAATCCTTTGGGGTGAAGTTTTAGAAACACATTTCCATTAGAAATGTGTAATGATTAACCGGCGGCCAGGGGGCTGTTCCAACCCAGCAGGGCCAGGCCAGAGCAGCACACCATGGATGGGGGGCAACCCTGAGACCCCCTGGCCACCAATGGCTAATTGCTTTAACCAGTCTTTAACAATCTTTAACCAGTTAACTGACTAAACAGGATTTTACATCCTTAATTTTCATTCTTCCTATTTTTGAAGATCTCAAAGTTAATTAATAAACTTATACTATTGTTACAGATACATTCATAAAGTAATGCAACACAATCCCTAACCAAGATAAACCTTAGCTATTTCTGTTCTTCATGCCTCATTAGACTAGCAATCCCACAAATTGGTTTACCATATTACTGAATGATTCCTACGTTTTATTGTTCTCTGTCCATGTTTATAATCTATACACAATTTTCTGATTCTGTTATAATTAAGTTATTCAATATTTCTGTAGAGTATTCGTCTAGTAATTTTAAGTTTTTCCCAGGACAAATGCTTGGTGTTTATACTAGGGCTTATGCCAAGCAACTTTAGCAGCTCACCAGATGAGGTCACTCCATTATCACTGTCAATATATCCTTCTCAGCTATAGCTATAAACAAAAACTTCATCACTGGATGCTCTCTCTATTCAAGACAGCTGATGCACCATTCTGTTCCTAATCTAGGACTTTGATTGGGGATGCAATAGTGCAGTCAACTAAACAATTAGCTGACAAGCGGGTGCTTATCAGTTAACATTACCAACTACACTCAATATCCACCCTTCCCAGCAAGTACGTTTTTTAGCTGGCTGTCTCAGTTCTGCCTCACACCAGGATCGGTCATCAACCTCCATGCCAGCTCTTAGTGCAAAGCTGTAGCGGGGGGGTCGATGCTGGTCCCGACACTAAGCGCTGGTGTGCGGGCAGACTGGCTCAGTCACAACTCATGTTGGGATGCAGCATCAACCCCTGCTGCGGCTCTGCACCACCAGAGGAGGTGGGGGGGGG